TCCTCCTAGTTTGTGCCAGAGGAAAAATCAAAACAAGAATTATGGAATTGATACTCAGAAATTTTGTAGTGAATTAATGATGGCTTTTTCCAATCTTTTTTTAAGGTATTTGATTCCAAAATGCAGGTGATGCTACCAAAGCCATAAAACAACAGATCATGAAAGTATTGGATGCCTTGGAGAGTTAATAACTAAAGACTTCGTAGAGAACAGTTTATGAAGAAGAAGCAACCAAGATACTGTATGTGGACACAAGCTGACTGTTTCGCAACTGAATACTAACTTAAGAGAATTTTTCTGTTTGCTGATGGGAATGCCTGAGTAGCAGGCTTAAGATAGGGTAAATTATTATCAATTTCTGAACAGGATTTTTAATTTTTTTTTTTTTTTTAAGAAATGTTTATTGTAAAGGTCAGTTTGTTTTATTTTTAATGCAGCCTTAATGTGAGTGATCTGCATCTTTGCAAGAGAAGATGCAGCTGCGTTCGTGTTAAGTGTATTAAAGGAATGAAGCACTGCCAGATACGGAGAAGCAGTTGAAAACAGAATGGTTTTTAAATTACTGTCCCTTGAAAGTGAAATGTCTCCATTGCCTACAGGCTATAAATTTGATTTTGCCTACTGGGTAGTATCAAGGACTGATTAAAAACTTAGGTTTATGAGCAGAGCACACAAAAATCTTAGAAATACTGGTTCCTTCTCATTAAAAATGGTTAAGTCCAGCTTGGGCTGCAGGTAAATGGAAAAAATGCAAGCAGTTTGTAAAATTAACTTTTTTAAAAGTCTTATCCACTACTAGGTTAAAGAATTGGAATTGGTGGTAAGGGTATTTTTAAATACCAAAATGAACTGTGCACAATAAGCTTTTGCTACAGGGTTGTGATTTTTTAATTATGCAAAATTTTACATTTCATAGGTTGGGGCTGTTTCTCTTGGGAAGATGAGTGTGTGCATTGAAATTGAAGTTAATGCTTCACGACAGAATATGACAGTTGAAAACCAGTTACCTTGCTCCTCAGAAACAAAATGTCCAAGATAATAATTAGACCTTTAAAAACCTTCAGTTCAGCACAGAAGTGAGTATGTGCTGATCAGAGATGTGTTCAGCAAGAAAATTAACGCACACAAATACAGTGAAGAGATTCAAGTGCTATATACCTGTGATAGATGTATTCATCATCTGTTGCCTTCATTGATTCAAGCATTTGTTTATATTCTTTTAACTAACATCTTCTAAATTAGTTAATGTTTGAGACTTGGCAACTACGTGATTGTTTATCAGCAGCTTTCCACTTGTTCCAAGAACTTTCTCTTATTAAAAAGCTCAGTACAGGAATGTCCTTATGGCTGAGGCATAGCATCTTTGTAGGCTGATGTGGAAATTACCAAAACCTGTCAAATAATAGGGATTAGCTTTGCTGCGTGAAGTTGTCTGAGTATTTGAATCAAAACCTGTGAATTGGTACATCATCAGGAGGTAAAATAAATTAAACTGACCTTTATAAAAAACAGTTATTCTAAGTTATTTTCCTAGGAATCAAGCTAGGGCACCTTAATTCTGGAACTAATTCCTTTTTTTTTTTTCTTCTTAGTATTTGAGTAAACACCAATAGAACTTGAACTGTTGAAGATATTTGCATGAAATTGCACCTGGGCCAACGCTCATGTATTTATAGTTTTGCCCAGCAGCTGTTGTATTACATTTTTCTCTTCCTACTGCCTTCTGAAAATACCCTGAAGTCTCTGACTCGGTGCCTACCTTAGCAATGAGATTTTTTTCATGTAAAGATGTTTGTGTTACTGTTTATAAACTACAGTTGTAAATAAACCAGTACAATTTGAACATACCTTGTTCTGTCAGAAGGCATTTAGTTGCGTACTGCGTGAATTCTCTGAATCAATTAAAAGTTTTTCCTAAAGGTATTTTATAAATGGAAGTGAATTTGATCTTTGGAGTGAAAGAAGCTGATTATGGATCATAGGGAGCTACTGTCAGTGGTATCTTAATGTGAGTATATTGGAATTTAGACTAATTTCATTAAATGCTTTTGGGTGAGCCATAGTAAGCATTCTTAGAGAGGTCAAAATGAGTTAACAAACGGTCACATTATAGAGAGGGTCTCTGCATAAATCCCAGACTTGTCAGCATCATATTTTTATATTATGAAAACGTTGACAAAATGATACAACACATTTCTGCTAGTTATTGGGGGGGAGAATTGTGAACGTGATTTGGGGGGGAATTGAGAAATAGTTATTTCATGTGTTGCTGAAGTATTTAAAGTGATACCTTGAAGAATCTAATTACTTGTAGTGAAAAGTACACTGTTAAACAGGGGTATTTGGGCATTCAGTATGGAAAGTGGGTAATGTGTATGCTTCTCTATGAGGACAACAAATACAGACCTTTTAAATCTACAGTAAGTAAAGCTACAGTAAGTCAGTTCTTAAATCTCTTCTGTGTAGAAATGTATAATCCAAGCCATTAAGAGGTTAATTATTTGTAATTTTTAAGGCAATGTGCAAGCTATCAACAGACTCCTTATCTTACAAAGCTCAGTCCAAACTATGAATAATTTCAGTGGTGTTTTATGCATCTCTACCCACAATTTAAAGGCTACTTTTGCCTCATAGTGTATGTTTCTGTAGTTGGTGTGTTTGCTACAAAACTTGTATTGCTAAGCAGAAATTCCAATTATAGTACTGGAGTGACAGTTTTTGGAAAGAAAATTCAAAATAGTCAGTATGCTGCTTCCTGTCCCTGTCATCTCCAGGGAATTTTTTTCAATCGTTTGCCAGAGGTTTGCAGGCTCCTGTTTTGTTTGCATGCACTGTTGTCCATATTGTTGAACATAAGATGACAGCTGCTATGTTGTGGGGGTTTTGATTTTTATTTTTCTTTATTTTGGTGTTAGAAATGAAGTCTGTAGCAGGAAAGAAACACTCTTTCCAGAGTAAGCTTTCCTGCCGAATGGAAGCTCTTACCTTTGTGTTTAATAGCCAGGGTCAGTGCTTCTGTGTGAGAATTTGTGCAGAACTTCACAAGTATTATCCATCAAAAATACTGACTGTGGAGATGTGGGTTTTACTACATTGCCTTCTCCATATGTAAGTAAAGATTAATTGCTGCTCTTGCATTTTAGTTCCTGTTAGGCCTTACACCTGGATCTCAGCAGCGTTTGCAGCTTTCTCTTCCAGCTGCGTTTCTGTTGTAGTTTCAAAACTTTTGATTCTGCCAAATAACCTTTTCAATATAGGGGTAGTCTACTGAATGGCTGAAAAGTTTCTCCTTTTTGGGAAGGAGGGGGGTGGTGATAGTATGCAACTTGATCTTTTGGGTGTATTTAGTGCTTTTGGATATTGTTGTTTGGAAACTTGAAAAATACAGTGTATCTCTCTGAACTATGGGAAACAGTGGATTTTTAGCCTGTGCTTTTCGCCTTGAAGGGTTGATACTGCTTCACTGCTTATTTTGTGCTCTGCCCCAAACCTCGTGTGAACTCAGGAGACAGCTGTTCTTTGCACCTGGAGCCCTGCAAGGTGTGCTGTTCAAAAAAAAAAAAAAAAAGTTCATATATGCTGTTTCTACTACCATGGGCACATGTAAAAGGGAGGGAGCTCTACCAAAGAGCTGCTGCATCCCCTCCTCATCTGCAGTTGTCCACTGTTGGCAATTCTGCCATCCTTTGGCTTGCTCAGTTTGGGATGAGCTGTTCCCTTTACTGCTCCAAGGGGCAGACTGAACAGTTTTTCTGTTGAAGGAAGGTTTGTAACTGCTGCACCCAGTGGTGGTTGTGCATTTTATGGTGGTTGTGCACTTCTCATCCTTTATCTCTCAGCACGTGTTTCCTAAAAGTGGCTTCAGCCCAACGTGTAAGAGATTGATGACCCTAGGTTACCCACTTTGTTTTACCTTCGCCCCTTCTGCTGTCATGTGCTTTCATCTTGCAGAGGTACTCTTGCATGAGAAATACTGTGCAAGAGATGCCAGCCTCTAAACAACATGAATCTGCAGTTCTACAAACATGCTTTTAAAAAGCCCAAGACTGTAAAATACAGACGAGGCAGTTCTGTGTTGAGTAACGGGGAGCACTCGGTGTTTAAAGCTAGTAATAAAAACAGCATGGCAGTTAGCATATTAGTTTCTACCTTAGAAAATGCTGTTCTTGTAAAAGAAGGTGGCAGCGGGGATGTGCCAGGTGAATGAGTTACCTGTAAACTGGTTCAGATCTCTTGGGACGAGCCCTTAACCAAGTACAAGGCTGCTACGGATTGCATAGGGCTGGGAAAATGCGATGTCGGCCCATCAACGGTGCATCGGGCACCAAGAGATTTGCATGCACAGCTGTGTTTTTGCCAGGTGCTGAACTGGCACGGGAGGAGTACTCCCAGCTCCCTGCCATCCACTGGGGTTACGCAGGGGGAAAGGCTCGGCAGCGGTTTGGGCTTGGGGTGATTCATCCCCTGCTCGTTCCTGCTCTGAACCCGGGCTGCGCCGCTCTCTCGAGCTGCCTGCACCGGGCACCAAGAGATTTGCATGCACAGCTGTGTTTTTGCCAGGTGCTGAACTGGCACGGGAGGAGTACTCCCAGCTCCCTGCCATCCACTGGGGTTACGCAGGGGGAAAGGCTCGGCAGCGGTTTGGGCTTGGGGTGATTCATCCCCTGCTCGTTCCTGCTCTGAACCCGGGCTGCGCCGCTCTCTCGAGCTGCGTCGGCAAAACTGCGTGGGCAAGTGCTGTGAAATCGGATCGAGGAACTAGCCAGGCTGTTTAAAAGCAGTATATGAGTCGCTTTTAAACAAGTCCCGCCGCAGGCCCTGCTGGAGAGGCGCTCCCCTTTCCTGCCGGGGCGCTGGTGGGCGGAGCTGCAGCCGCCGGTTCTGCCGCGGGTTTGGCGGCGGGTTTTCGCCTGGGCGCCGCACGCCCGGCGCTGGGGCGGGACTGCATTTCCCAGCTGCCCGGTGCCCGCACGCGTGCGCCGCGCCGGGGCCGGCCGCCCAGCACTGTAAGGGAGGAGCCGGAGCCGGGCGGGGGATGCAGGCGGCGCGCGGAGCTATGGCCAGTGAGTGGGGGGGGGCTCCTCCTCGCACTCCCTCCTTCCCTCCCTCTCTCCCGGCCGGGGACGTGGGGAAAAGGGCCGACGTGGGGTTGAACCTGCCCCTCTAGCGGAGCTCCGGCCTCCCGCCCCGGGCCTCAGCCGGTGAGAGGGGCCGCTGCGTAGTGCCGGCTTCCCCACTCGCACCGAGGCTCTCCGCGGAGTCACCGCCCCCCCCGTGGCCCCGGGCGCCGCCCTGAGCCGCTGCGGGCCTCTCCTTGTCCCCGCTGGGCCCTTACCCTCTTATCTGACCGTGGGGACGCACCCGGGGACGGGCCGTGGACTGGCTGCTGCCCCGGCCAGTGTCCCCCGGAGTCCCCAGTCCTAGTCTGGACTGGAAAGGCCCCAGTCCTGGTGCTGAGCCTTTGAAGGGGTGTGAAATGCTGCACGTACTAGAGGCAGCTGCCTTGGGCACTCCCGCTTTGCGACAGACTGGTAGAAACTGCTTGCCGTGCATCTCTCTCGTACCGCTGCAATGGTCAGATTGTCGAGAAATTTGATCTGAACAAACCAGACGTGCTTAGCTTCTGATGTTTTCCAAAAAAACATGCTTCGTAGCCATACAAATACAAGCCATTATTTTACTCTGATATGCTTTTAACTGGCTGTGGTTTGCATTGCTATAGGCTTATCCTAAGAATTGCCTTTTAAAGAAGTTTTTGAGGCAGCTTAGCAAGGCTGGAAGAAGAGATCTAGGGTCTCTACAGCACTGTTGCACATTTATCTCTATTTCCGTTACTTGTTTTTAAACAAAACTGGGGGCACAAGTACATGTATTCTGTTGTGATTGAGCTTTAATTTTGCCCTTTAACAAACTCCAAACCTGAGGCACAGGGAACACAAGATTAATGGTTTCCTGGTGTTTTAAACGTTATGGGAAGGAAGTTAGTTAAAATTTTTCCTAGTAGATGCTCTTTTGGTTTTTTTGCAAAAGTGAATTTATGCTGAAATGTAAATCTTTAAGCGTCCAATTTCTCTGAGCTAAAGCACATTCCACAAATATGGGAAACTTCTAGACCGATTCCTAGTATGGTTATCTAGGTGGGTCTGGAAGCTAACTGTGGTTACATTTCTTCAAAATCTCGGTGAAGCTTTGTTTACTCAATAAACCAAATATTAAGTCTCTCGCATGAAGAGTGGCAAAGTGAGCAGTTAATCATTTGCTCAACCTCTAGAAATTAGCTGCTTAGCTACTGAAGTGAGAACTAAAGTAGGAAGAAAGATATTCTGCCTGACTGTTCCTGACCTGATCTTGTCTTCACTTGAATCAGTTCTTCCCGTTTCCCTGACCACTGAGGCTGTGTTGCCTGCAGCTTTTTCTTTATCCTGTAGTGATCTTTGACTGTATGACAGGGGAGTTTCCCAGAGAAGAGAGGTGCTTTGAAACTGGGGTACTTTTCTTTATGAAGCCAGAGCACTTTTTTTTTTTTTTTTTTTTTAAAGAAGGAGACAGTTCTACCTGATCAGGATACATTTTCCTACAGCCCAAGGTACTAGGAGATTCATGGAAGGAAGTCCAAGGGGCGTGCACAAAACTTGACTTGATCTCTTCCACTTGTGTATTTTAAGAGCCTACAAATATAAATCCTGCTTAGCTGCAGTAGAGACAGTGTTGATGACACTTGTCTAGAAACCAAATTGCAAAGAAGTGATCAGGAAAGACGTTATCTTTATTGTTTTTTGTAGCCATTTCCCAGGCTAGGTGTGATTTGAGGGATAAAAGCAAACTATTCCCATATTTGGTGCTTTTGGGATTATCCAATCCTTTAGTTTGCTAGTAGTACTTTAGGACACGCAGTGCTCATCAGGTGACGGGTGCAACAAAAAGATAGGCTGGCAAAGCGCGTAGCAAACTGGGAAGGAAGAAGCAGGTCTAGGTAACTAGTGGTCTCCATTTCTGTCACACGGTATCTTACATTAGAACTTGGGCTGGGTACTGCCTAGGCTAAGTGCTACTAGCATGTGAACTCTGTGATTTTTTTCGACCTGAGCAGAGTGATGGCGATGTACGGTTGCCATTAGCAAGCCTAGGTTTGAATGTTCTCCCTGTGTTAAGAGACTGTTTCCAGAGTCATAGACAGACCGCAAAATGAGTTGGAAGTGGTTTGTGTATATGTTAATATATAAGCAAATTTATTTTGTTAAATGCTCATTAGTGAATTCAAATTTTGAAGTTTCTCCTGGGGGAATTCTGCTGACTAATTTTTTCTTTTCTGCCATTAGACTTCCGCCTGGCTCTTATTCAGCTTCATGTATCTGCTGTTAAATCAGATAACCTTCAACGAGCCTGTGGACTGGTGAGAGAAGCATCAGCTAAAGGAGCAAAAGTTGTGGCTTTACCTGTGAGTAAAGATCATGGTCTACTTAAAACCTATACCTCAAACCCTTGGAAACCTCTTTCTAGTGTTACTAATGCATTATATATTCCTGTTTCTCTCTGGATAGCTTAGATGCTGTATGACGCTCCAAAATAGGGAAAAAAACCAGGTGTTCTGTCTACCAGCACTCTTAAGAGGGGGGGAAAACAAGAAGGAGGAAAAAAAAAAAAAAAAAAAAAAAACGGGGTCTCTTTTTTGGTTGCTCTTTTTGTGGTATAAGATTCAGGTTAATTTTTTGCTGGTTTAAATCCCAGGCAATTCTATCACTGGTACGTTCTGAATTCATGAAAGTGACTCTATGGTTTGAATCATTGCAGAAGCCTTCTTTGCTAGAAATGTAGGAAAAGGCAATTTTCAGCTGAAGAATGTTGATATGAAAATGAAAGAAAACAGGTATATAATGACTCTGTTTGCCACAGTCATTCCAGATTAGATAGTACGTGAGAAACAAAATAGACTTAAGACATTTCCAGCAGGTCATTTGTGGCTGAATTATGATTAAAACAAATTTATCTTGTGATGTCCTTGCATGAGAACATAAATAGCTGCTTAAAATTACTGATCATTTCTGATTACCTTTTGGACTTCAGCCATGATTACCTTGCAGAATTTTCACACAGATGAGTGTGCTGGCAACGAGGTGACCTTCCCAGTGCAGCTTTGAGCTCTTCCTGGGGGTACGTGTGTTACCCCTGTGCCCTGCAGCATCTGATTCAGGAGTGCAAAGTTCTTCTCTGGGTGAACTTTTGGTCTGGACGTTTTACATGCAGAATGTTTTCCCTCGTGCTGTCACAGGCGAAGTATGAAGCAACCTTTCCAGCTCCTCTGTGCTAACACAGCTCTTGTTGCAGATGTGACCTTTGATTATTCTGGCTGGGCCTCCTACACTGAGATTATATATTATTTGCTAGTTTCCTCACGTGTACAAACATCGAGTTTTCCAGACCTATTTAGTTGAGATACTCACTTTGCCAATGATAATTTGTGCTTTTAGAGTAAAACTTGTCAAACAAGGGCAAGGTTTTTCAGACTTTTGGGAGGTAAATTTTGTACTGGCATTAGGACACGGGCATGAAATATTCTCTTCCCTCCACTTTTTTTTTTTGAAGTCACACTACATAAAGAACAGAAGTAACTTGCACTGACTATATAATCTACACCTCTGCAGAGGCATATGGCAGTTTTCCTGTGACATGTTAGCCTTGATGTATTAAACATTTTTCATTTCTGAACCAGGAAAAATTTGTGAGAAAAAAACAATTTGTAATGTTTATGGATAAAGAAATAAAAACAGAATCCATTTGAATCTGGAAATTGACAGAAAGCAATTCAAAGATCTGTCTCTGGAGAGCACAGGACTAGGTGACCTGTGCACACAGTCTGCAGTTTTGTTCCAATGTCAACTTATGAACAGCCCCATGCACTGCTGCTGCAAGCTTGCACAGAGCTCTGCCTGTTCTCTTGAGCCCATGGTTTCAGTACCACCCACATTGACGCTGCAAGTGGCAAGATGAAGGTGGAGGCATCTGGCATTGCTTTCATTTCCTTGAAGTTCAGTCCAACTTTCAAAAGCCTGGGAAGCTCATTTGACAGCCTGCGGAGACTTCCCTTCCCGCCTCTTCCATCTACAAATTCTGCTGTTTTTCAAATTCTAGCTGGCACCTGCTGGCCCAGTGTCTGTATATGGGGCAAAAAACATCCATCCAGTTTTGGTTCAGTTAGTCCAGTTCAGTAGAATCTACTACAGTTGTTAAGAAGTTTGCTTGAGCAGTTAAGGCATAAATGTTTATTGTGCTATTCACAACTTGATTTTTTTTCTTTTTTTTTCTTTTTTTCTTTTTTGGGGGGGTTCTTGTTACAACTTCTAGTGAGCAAAGGTAACAATCAAGGCAGATGCTTGGGCTGGGAATTGCTTGCTGAAGAGTAGGTGCTGGTACTGTTTGATAGCCTATCTGTGGCCTTCAGCTGTACTCCTTTAGGGGACAAAAAAGTGTTGGGGGAGGTGTCTCACATCCTCACAGAGCTGGCAAATATAATGCAGAGTAAAATTTCTGGATATCTTGGGCATCTCAAACACCAGTAGCCACCTAGTTTAGGCATCTAAACTGGTCTGTTAATCTTACTGTCTAAAGATTACATGCCTGGTTCTGAGGGATAGCAAATCTTTAACTAGAGCCTAGGACAGAAGACACTGTTCAGTTGTGAGGAAATGGTGTTTAAAGGATTGTTTTAGCAAAAGAATAAGTAATTTTGAGAAATGCATGCTTTTGCAAGCATTTCTTCATTTAAAAATTCTTCATTTAAAAATGAAGAAATCATGGGCTCTGGACAAGCATGAGCATTTCACAGTTTTGAGAGGATCTGTTTAGCTTGTAACTTGTCAAATGGGCTAGGTGGAACTTGGCTCATTATTCTGATGAGAACATCCCTTGTGATCTTGCTTAGTCTAGACTGATAAACGTGCTAGCCTTGTTACTTGCAGCTTGCATGATACTCCTAGCTCATGTTCTGTTTGGCACGCGTTCACACCAACACACCCACTGCATTTTCTCTAATTGCTAAGGTCTCTCTGGCCTCCTGATATTTTCTGATTTGCTTATTGAGCTCCTGTAAACTAAACTCCTGTAACTAAAGATTGTATGAGAACATTGATAGAGAGGAGTTTGAAAGGTCAAGTACATCTTCTTGCAGTGGTGTTACTGGATTTTAACATAATTTTTTTTTTTTTCTAATTCTAGGAATGCTTTAATTCTCCATATGGAACCCAATACTTCAAGGAGTATGCAGAGAAGATCCCTGGGGAATCGACACAAAAGCTCTCAGAAGTTGCAAAGGAGTGCAGCATATATCTTGTCGGAGGTAGTTTACTCTTAGTGACCATCTCATTGAGGGAAAAACGAGCAATGTCTGTTAGTGCCATTGGATCAAAATTCCATATAATACAGTGGGGGAAATCTTTGTTCTCGCCTTTACAAAGGATCCATTCCAGAAGAGGATGGTGGAAAGCTGTATAATACATGTACTGTCTTTGGGCCTGATGGTGCTATGTTGGCAAAGCATAGGAAGGTAAGGTGGCAGAATGTTGTTATTAAAAGGTTTCTCAGCAGTGCTGCATAAATGATTTAATCTGTGCCTAAAGGTGATGTGAATTAGTAGAATTTTGCATTAATAATAAGCTCTGTACTGTCAGTAAAATTGCGTATAATTTTTATTGGGGACATGTAAACACCCCTCCCAAAGGTGGTCATAAATTTGTTCTGGATAAGGACGACAAAATGCAGAAGGCATAACTGGCTTTTCCCAGATGCTGGGAAAACTGTGGTAAAGAGTAAATCCTGGTCCAACTCACCTGTGTACCTTGGTCTAGGTCTAAAACATAGTGCCACTTAGTGGGATCAGGATTTTCCCTCAGGTTCCCAATGGATTTAGTCCTTCTGTTATCATAAATACTGTTCTTTACATACTTTGTGTGCTATATGTACGATTAGTGCAGATAACCGAAGCCCAAGTTCCGTAGTTAAGCTGTGTCTGCTGTTTGTGGTAGATGCTTGCTTACTGTCATCTTCCACCTGGACATTGCTTTGTGCCTTCTGAGAAACTACCTCCTATTCATAACTGTAGAGTGTAGTTTCTGTTAACCTGACTATGCATACAGGTATCATTCCTTAGGTGAACAACAGCTTATTTCTTTCAAGGAAAGACAAAAAAGAGAATGCAAGGTCACTTGGAACAAACGCGGTGGTGCAAAATACCTCTGGGGTGCAGGTATTGATTTATTCTGTTAACTGATTCTACGCTTAGCTACACTTAGTTCACTTTCTGAAGTACTGCGTTGCCTTCCATCTATCGTACCACACCAGTCCGCAAGCCCGGTAGTTGTTTGTAGAATGAGTACAGGCTTGTACTGTGTAAATATGAATAATAACATAAAACCAGCTGTATTATTAGGAAGCTCCGGTCAGGAACAGAATCTTCCATTGCAAGGGAGGGATAAAGACTGTCTGCAGGGGCTAAGAGGCATCTGCTTAGCTGAAGTCATGGGAACTTTATGTCTTGGCGAAGGTATTTTCTGGAGAAGTTTTGCTGGAATGGGACTCAAATTTTAGAATGGAAAATATCACCTGCTTTAACATACTTTAAAATCATCCTGACAAATTCAAGACATTTTATATGTATCCTTTCTTTTGCAAAATTACTCATTAGATCAAGATATCTAGCTATTTTGCAAGGATTCTTTCCACGAAGAAGATATAGAGCCATACTACAAATTAATTGTTATATTTTTAGCTATTTTTAACTACTCTCCATTACTGCATAGGAGGAGGACAAGGCATTCTATTTGGTAAGCAATAGAAACGCTTGATATATGCATCACTTGGGTCACAGGGATTATATGTGTCGTTTAAAATGGCCAGTCTTCCCCCTCCCCCCGAATAACTTTAGACATGTATATTTGTGTAAAGAAGAAAAATTGCTTTACATCATCTTTAGGAGATCTCACAATCTTAAGCAATGTTTAGTTGGGATCCTGACAAAAGAGTAGTCTAGATAACGGTAACTAGAAAACACGTGCCTAATAGAAAGAGGCTCAAATACCAGGCAGAGAAATTGTTATTAATTGTTATTAATCATACTATAATTACAGGTTCATTTGTTTGACATTAATATTCCTGGGAAGATACAGTTCAAAGAGTCTGAAACACTGAGTCCAGGGAATAGTTTCTCCATGTTTGATACTCGTGAGTATAAGACAAGCCCTCTCTTTAAGGAGCTCTGCCACAGTAACACTACAGTCATTCTGGAGTTCTCTTCCCAGCAATGGATTTTTAGACTATCAGATTTATATTCGGCATATGGCAAATATAGTTTTAAGTTTGTTCCAAGTGCACGGGTCACTTCTGAGACTTTTAAAAAGGCAATGTGATTGCAAAAGGACGGAGGAGTGGAAAGGGTTGAAGCATACATCATGGCACTTCCCTTAAATTGGGGTCCTATTGATTTGTTAAAGAGAAGTTACTGTATTTTTTTAATAGCGGTTACATCTTTAAAATGGTTCTTATAAAACATGGCTTGGAAAAGAATATGTGTAGCAAACAGCTAGACTGGCACATTGTTTCCTGTGAGGAGGATATAATAATGGAGGCAATTAACTGTAAATCCCATTCCAACATTCTTGAATCAACCACATCAGATAAAGAAGCAAGACACCTACTCTCCCCCCGCTCCCTCCAGTGTTCAGAAATTAACATGTCCTGTTTACCGAGCTCTCCGAAGAGTCTCGTCTCCCACGGTCGCTTTTGCCTCCTTGCAATGTGCATGCTGTAAGAAAGTACATGATTGTAGTCATGAAGCAGTGAATGCTTTCTTTCTCTTGAAAATAAAATAATTGAAAAACCTGCAGCTAAATCAGGGAGGAATACATTACACGAAGACCTGATATAATATGGTTTTGTGGAAATGGCTGTTTTTAAAGGGTAGATAAGACTGCTTCTCGCAGTCTTCCTCTCATCATGAAGCATGAATTCTCCCCTACAAATAGCCAATGCTTGTTACCGATAAGGATATGCGTTTAAATATAGCTTCTCTTGTTACTGTGAGACATAAGAAATAACAGCTGGCAGGATGGCTACAGCGAGTCTTGTGATTGCCTTTGTGTACTGGTGGTAGCGATATGACTGTTGTCTCTTGTCTTTTGAGAACAGCATACTGTAAAGTGGGCCTGGGCATCTGCTATGATATCAGATTTGCTGAGATGGCTCAAATCTACGGACAGAAAGGTGAGGCTGGGTCACCTAATGGAGTGTGGTTAGCCCTAAGGCCTGAACTATGCAGGGCTGTTTCAGGGTGGTACCGACTGGGCAGTCTGTGAGATCGGGCACTCTCATCCTCACCCAGTAACACAAAATGCATCTTGTGGCCAGGACTTTGTTATTCAAATGAGTGTCTGTTCTCCTTGAGTAAAGTAACAATCAGTTCCTGATACACATTTGTTGATGGAGTGATGGAGATGGGTGTATCCTCACACTTCATAATGTGTCACAGGGCTTTGCTGACATAAGTAATCACCCATGTCATGCCTGGACAGTCTCTATTTGGTTCCATTTTGGGCAGAGGTCGGGGAGTACTGAAAGAAACCTCGCCTTGGGTCTCCATGTGAAGGGCCGCTCTAGGGTAAACCATCTTCCCCTTAGTGATGGCTGGGTTCTAATTTTCTTTTAACAAAGGTTGCCAGCTGCTGATATATCCAGGGGCTTTTAACCTGACAACAGGACCAGCTCATTGGGAACTGCTACAAAGGGGACGGTAAGAACAAAGTAACAGCTTATCTGCCTGTTCCAGAGGGAGGTGTAGCACGTGGAACTGAACTGTTCCTGTGTTCCAAATGACACTATGCATCAGAAGCGGTGCTGCAGGGCCACTCTGCCATTGGAGCTGCACCATTCCTCAAGCCTTGCATGGGACACCAGAATGATTTTGCTGTCAAGGAGAAAAGCAGGAAGTGCTTAACCTTCGCTCCTGTCAGCCCCTCCGCAGTTATGCCCTTTCAAGGACCTTTTCCCCATGGCTCTGTCAGCACCCTTCACGCACAAACTTCTAGACAGAAGAGCCAATAACCATTTGAGAACTGCTCTAATTACAGATAGGAATAGACCCTGAGACTCCTAAATGCAGTATTATTCATTCATTTGGTCAGCTTCCATCAACTTCGCTGCATACTGAATGAACATGTAATTCATTCTACCCACTAACTCTGGAGCAGGTGCTAGAGACTTCTCTTTCCAGGCTTTGCTTTGTCTGACCTTCATATCCTTTACAATTTTGGCTAGCCCTTAGGAGGATATATAGCTTGCCCTTCAGAGTGAATTCTTTCTCTTCGGCTTAGTTAACTGGCGGTATAAAAAAAAATTTCTACTCACCTTTTTCCCCCCCCTTCCCTCATCTTTCTGTGAACACAGAGCTGTTGATAATCAAGTCTACGTAGCTACTGTATCTCCTGCTAGAGACGAAAAAGCATCCTATGTTGCCTGGGGACACAGCACTGTAGTAAATCCATGGTGAGTTCAGGAAAAAACCCAACCCCCACCTTTTCTTGCTTAAAAAATGTTTTACTTGACAGTCACATTTCAGTCCCACATTTCCATCTACTCTTAAAAATGTCATAAGTTCTTGGTAAAAAGCATCTGAGACTTAAGCCTACGTTCTCAAAACCATCCTTTAAAACTGTCTGATTGAAAACCAAGAAAGAAATTAAAACTAGTTTAACAGTATGTATTCTTTTTGGCAGCAAAGCAGCTACTTAGGACTAGTATTTAGCATTAGTTAAGCTGCTGACCTTTCCAACTTGTCCCTGAAGTTCAGTCCATTATATACTATGCATTATGGTAATTCTCTGTACAGAACTGAACCATCTTAAACAGCTTACACAAAGCTACTTCATTTACTCAGAGAACAAAACTGCTTTGACATAAGAACGAACAAGAAGAATGTCTTCAGCTAGATAAGAGACACATTCTGACTTAAGCAGAAGCAATGCAGGTGCACAACAGGTAGAAGTGACCAAATCTTCAGGCAGTTATTTTCTTTCAAATAAATCCACTGATAGTTCTCTTCCAGATGACTGCGAAGTAAGAAAAGCTTTATCTATGTCTTGAGCTTTTAACTTTATATGATGAAAGCAGTGACAGAACACCTAGTGGGAGACATGATAAATAATGTCCAGTAGCTCATGCGGAGTAAAAGTATACTCCTATTAAAAGCCAGTAGAATCTGAAAGGAGAAAGTGTTAGGCTTTGCCATATATGGTTGTCCCTGGTGAAGTTGTTTCTTTCCCCTTGAGGTATATTGCATGCTCACATGCACTGGTTCTCATAGTTGCTCTTACCGTGATTCTTGATCTTCAGAAACATACTTACGTTAAGTATGTATATGTCACATATAAAATGTGCCACATACAAAGCCTGGAAGCCATTTCTATCATGCCAGAGTTATGAATTATGATGCTATTTTTAGGATGGCCCTGTCTTTACAGCTGTAGACATCAAGGGTAGGAACTCCCTTTTGTACAAACAGCAGCAACTGGACTGATACCTTGAGACCTCTGGGTTAATGCTGTGAACAAATGTGCTTAATTTTGCAGGGGTGAAGTCATAGCCAAAGCTGGGGCTGAGGAGACAGTTATATACACAGATATAGGTAAGGGTAAAGTTTGGGGTTTTGTGGGTTTTTTTCCTGCTTGCTTTCTTGAATACAGGTCATGAGACTAAGGAGAGAGAATTTTTTGTCTGTGGGCTTGCACATGCAATTGCAGATGATGGAGTGTTCCCATCCCTTCTCCACCTTTGCTAGATTAAAGCAAGAACAAGCAGCACTTGACTATACTCTTCCAGTTGCCTTACTTATGAGGAAGCTGCCACCTTAGGAAAGAGCAAAGCTGCGGCTTCCTTCAGCCCTGGCTGCCCAGTTGCCGTGCCCTACAGACCCATTCTCTGTGAAGGCTGCTCTTTTCCCTGCCTTACCTCAGAGCAAGTCAGGAGCTTTCCTTTTTGACTGCTGTTCTAATAGCTCTTTCTTCCCCTCCTGCAGATCTGAAGAAACTCGCAGAAATACGTCAACAAATTCCTATTTTAAGCCAGAAGCGTTGTGATCTCTATGGCAGAGAGATGAAAAAGTGAAGCTGGGTGAACAGGGAAGGTTCAGCTGGCACAATGGCTGCTGCTTTCATCTTCGGAAGGATTCCCTTACTAGTTGCTCCACAAGCTACTGCTAAATGTGCCAGTTAATTTAAAAAACAACTTGGTGGTATAATTCTAAAATTGATTCAAGTACAGCTTTTATATCTCCTCTTATACTTTAATATTTTATAGTATTTTACAGCTAGGATTAAGACGGAGGTGGAATCAGTTCAACACAGTAGTAGTTAACATTGCTTTTTATGCATCACAATGTTTTAGTTACCTTTTTGGGGCTTTTTTGTAGAACGTAAAAATGGGAACTTTGTTCTCTCTGGAAACTTGCTGAAGTCAGCTTTGGTATTATGAATTTTTCAGTGAATTATGAGATAATCCAGAAGCATGATTCTTCCACTTCTGTCCTTCTTAGTTGTATGTGCCTTAACAAAGCTCATTGAATGCTCAACTTCTAACTTGGAAAGCTCAAAATTTAACACACTAAGCAAAACAGGCCAAATTCTGCTCTGTACTACTTAGGGACAATGCAAGAAGCTGCCAGACAGAACTACTACTATAGTAGAATCTGTAACAGGTTTTGGTTCATGTGTCTTGCCTGAAATGTATGTATTAAATTCTCCTTACTGCAATTCCTGTTTATTGCTGAAGTGATGCAGGTTACTGTTTTGTTAAAGCAATTCACATGTCGCCACGCCTTTGCTCTATCTATCTACTGCTTCCTTAATACAATGTCTGAATGGGCTTTGAATTCTGCTGCCTGGCAGTCCTCACCTGAAAAGGCTGAGAAGAGTCAGTCAAAAGGGTTAGAAAACTTGTTGCACCGATTAAGTCTTTCTGCCCCCAGTCTCCCAGAAGACGGGTACTAGAATTGCTCAATGTTTAAATGCATTATTGCTACCAAAGGCCAACTCCCATCAGCTGCAAGGGAAACAGTCCTTCAGCAAGAGCAATGAAGTAAGAGACTAACAAGCCAATTATTAAAGATGGCTTTAAAACACTTAAAACCAGCCTAGCATTTTGTAGTCGTCTTGGGTGGTTTTTTTTTTTCTGAGAAGGAAGACACCTTGGTATTTCTAATGTAAAAAGATAAGAATTTGCAAATGGCATTTTTTTTTTCCTTCTTGGGATGAAAATCAGAAGCAACTGTAACTATCCAGCCTTTGCCACTAGGCTTTTAGTTTTCCAGCAGCAAAAATGGTAAAGCAATAAGGCTAAAGGAGATTTCAAAATACAAAAATGGGAGGAGAGGTTTTTGTCTCGCTCTAGCTAACCACCAGTTTCCCCCAAAACCACCTTACCTTTTTATTTGTGTTTAGCCATCCTCCTCTTCCCACAGCTGCTCTCTTGACTTTTTTTTTTTAATGTTCTTTTGGCTTCTCTGGAATGAGCTAGGCATGTGTTTTATAGAGGAAAATTAATGGTTAAATGAAGCCAAACCCTGAGGCGCCTTTCCTCTCAAAAGACAGGTCACACCATTCCACTCAGTGGCATTATCTATTCCAGCAGGCATTTTTTAGTCTGTACTTTTCACTGCATTTTGGTGTACATACTGTACTGGAACTCTTAAGAAACAAGCCACAGAGCATAAGGTGAAATGAAGATTTATTTCTCGAAAAATAAATATAAAAAAATTAACAATTTACCATTTGAGTCAAGTCTCCTGCATGAGTAGTGCCTCCCACATATTCAACAGTCGGCATCCCTGATGGCTGTCACAGCTCCAGCTTCTAAATCACAGCCACTATTATACATCCATTTTTCTAAACTAAACTACTCCATGTCCCCTCCCTATACTAGTTTAACATGCAGCGGAGCAGGAACTAAATACTACCTTTGGAGGATTAAAGCAGTGCAGGATTCTCGTGGGCTGACCACTTAATTTTAAAAATGCAAAGTGCAGTCTGCAACAGACAACAGTATCCATGGCCTGGAACCGCCTCCCCTGGAATCCCAAATGGAGAGAACAGATGAAAATCTGTAGCGAGCTACTTTGGTGGACTTGGCTGAAGAGGTGACATGAGCTCCATCCTCTTCAGTCTGTCAGGACAACTTCTAAGCACCTTGTTCTAGTAGGATGTTTTAGGGGTCTCCAGTGCGATCCACTCAGAAGTGATACAAATGGGACTGTGAATTTTTGGGGGTTTCACTGAAAAAAGTACACAGTCAGTTCTCCGTTAGAGAATACTTAAAGCAGTCAATACTCAATCTCTCTGTTGGTAGAAAACAGGCACTTTAAGTATCCGTATTATACATATGCACCAGTATTCTGTAAGTATAGAAAGCCAGCCAGTAACAGCCCTGAAAGAGCTCCAGAATTTCAGCCTGCAAGAATTTAAGTTCTTTTTAAAGAAATGGTAGAAAACGGAGTCATGCCTGTTGTACTGGACAGCATTATTACCACTGCAGCTGGGAAGCCTGATTAAAGCTGCATCTAAGCCGCTCCTCATAGTTGCACAGTAAGTTACAGTACAGCTCCTTAGTATATGTTAGTTCCCTCTTCACTTTCAATCTGCAATTAGGTCCTAGTAATTCAAGGCACAAGTCCTAATCTCCATTTTGGCAAACTTGTAAAATCCCTGATGTTCATGTTAGAGACATGATCAGAATTACGATGCAAGACAACTATGTGTAGAAGCAGCTTCCCAGAGTCTCTAGGATACACCAGGTTTATCCAAGTCTTCACTACTAGCTTCCTACATTATCTCAACAGATTGATTTTTTTTAAATAGCAGTAATACTTGTTTCACTTCAGCTCTCAATCCCTACTACAGAAAGCTTTTCTCAAAGTTCACATCCACACCTGGCTTAAAGCAAAACCTCAACTATATCAGACATTAAAAAAAAAAAAAAAAAAAAAGAAAAGATGCCTTTCACTAAAGGGATCCACCTGCATACACACATTAACAGGGCATCAGCTACTCAGATTCCCAGCTTTCCTGGCTGGATTTCCTTTCCCCTGTGATCTGCGGCTCTCAAGATCATACCTCTGGGTGATAGAAGCAATCGGAGACAAGACTCATTAATTCCATGTCTCCTCCTCATTTTTTCTTGAAGTGAGAGAAGATGACAGGGAGTCAGTCATTATTAGCTCTTCCTAGATTCAGAGCAACCTCAATAAGCACAGAGAGCACCACTGCAGAGAGTGCTTTCATCAAAACCTGTTCTTATGCATGTCAGAGAGAGATACTTGAAGGTAATATTTATTTTTTCAGTTTACAGGTGATACGTCATTTACAAAAAAAATTACAGACAATGCATCCTTTCAGTGCAGTTTCAAACTAGTTCAAGAACAGGCAAACGTCTGCGATGATTTGGAATGCTAGTATTCAACAGCACATGCTTTTTTCCCTTAATTGATTGGGTGGGGTAAGGAATGGGGTACAGGTAGGGTGAAGAGGAGAAAATGCCAGTGTAAATAAGGCCATGCGAATAAAAACTCCTCAGGAGAACAGGACGCAGTCAGCCTGGCATATTTTTGTTCTCAGGTAATTGACGCAGAGATTGGAAGTTCCAGAAGACATTTGACACTTGCTATGTGCAGCGCCCTTAGAAGCTGCCAGTACTTTCCAACGCCTTCAATTCTACACCAACGCTATGATTTCAGATCACCTACTGAGCTAGCTAAAATAGAATGATTAAGTCTGTATGTCTGCTCTCCACCATTTGAATTCTCAACTGTAGTTGCTGGGAGAAAGGAAGGTCAAGTTGAAAATACAAGCTGCTGCTATATGGTGGCACAACTAGAGAACAAGACAGTTTGACCACAGCATGGTTCAGTTCTTTAAAAGATGAAATACATTAGACAATTCAGCACAAGCAAATCTATGATTTCAGGATGGAAAGCAGCCCAAATTAGTGTATGGTAAATTAAGCTACATCAGTTAAGTATCTGCATGAGGTTTATCCAGCCACATCAATCCAGGGAGAGGCGAGATGGACTGACCAACTTCCATACCGGAAAGATCAACCCAAAGCAAGAGAGCCCTCTGTGAAGTTCCTAGCTAGAAGATGATAGTCTATACTAGTATTTAATAATTTGCCAGTCTCCCGTTTGCAGAACAGTTGCTTCCTTTCTACAGTATTTGTAATCTTGGACAAGACAGGGTCTAAAGAACAAGGAAACCAGTACAGATTCTAAATCCATTATTTGAAGTTTTAGCCTATGCTTTGTTCCTTATCTCACTTAATCCTGCAAAGGGGCAATTACAAGGAGCAGATCAGAACACAGCAGTGTCTAGAGACTGAAGAGAATTTAGACGGTCTTTTAGCTGTTACATTTAAGCAAGAGCGTCAGAGATTTGTACAAAGATTATATGCAAGCATGACCTTACCTTGGCAGCTCTACTCCCAGCAATGCTTTCTGTTCCTCAAAGTCCCTCTGAACCCTCCAGAACAATTTCCTGTGACATTCAAGTAAGGACTGCTGCACAGGAACATGGCCTTTCTTCCAGTAAAACCTACACTGAAGCAGTGTTACCTGGCCTCTTTCCCCTACCGACCTTTTTACTAGCTCTCCTATACAGTATGCTAGGGCTTTCTGGGATGAGGATAAGGACTATCAAATTAATTCCCTAATAGCTGCCACAGGACTATTTCTAAGTAAGTTATGCAGAGGGTGGGAGGGGCTTTAAGGGAAGATTGTGCATGCTTGCATATATTTACAGGGATTCTCTCCACATCTACCGACTTAAAAAACCCCTCTATTATTAAACAGTTTGAAAATTAATTTTTTCCTTTTTGCAAAATTAAAATCAACCCTCAAGGATTAATTGCATATAAAAAAGAAACCTATTTTACAGCACTGACTAGTATTACCTTTAAAATCAACAGGAAAAAACCCCCACATGCTGTAATATTGTTTGATAAAGCAAAAATCGCCCACAACATAATCACCCAAAATGAACCAGTGTGAAGTTTTTATTTGCATGGCCAAAATATCTTCCCTTTGTTCCCCTGCAACTTTACTTTCCCTTAACACGCTTTAAGGTTTTTGCTGCAGAAGGAACAAGATGCAACACTGCATACTTCCTTGAACAACCACTCCCACAACACCTAAACATTTAACAGATGTAGCAAATGACAACACCACGAACGGGAAAAAACTAAGTTCCACCATTCAACATGGTCTGCAACAGCGTCTTTAGGGCTGGCTGAAGTGGGCAACTTCACTTTAGAAGGTCATTTCCTCCTCGCTTCTTTACAGTGTTGGTGGTTTCAATCCATACTTCTTTGCAACTTCCGTCTGGGCATAGGCAGCATCACAGAGTGAGTAGAGGTGGGCCATCTCCATTTCAGATTTGGCCAGGTTGATAGCTTTGTTGAACATTTCAATGGCTTTATCCAGATTACCTCTGAAATAACCCAAAATGTAGTCCAATTAAGACTGGCAAAGCAATCTTTTCATCTCTACAGCATCTTTTTTCCTTCAGGACTTACACTCTCCGCTACTAACAGCTTAAAACGACTTCAGGAGGAACCACCACAAGAACTTGCAATGATGATGAGCAAACTGAGAGAAGCTGTTACCAAGCCTAAGCAACTAGGACAGCTGTTAAACAGCCTTTCTCTTGAGAGCCCCCACGGGTGGTAGTGGGGGATAAAACGTTCTCCACAGGCCACCAAGTTTACTACAGAGATAATGCTGGGACAACTAAATGAACTCTCGTCTCCCTTGAAAAGAGTTTG